GATTGCTAACACAGACCCTTAAAAGTATTAAAAGGAATACTGGCCCTAATTAAGTTCATTTGAAAATATAACTTGAAATTTGTTTATCTAATTTAAAACCAAATCAGCGAAAATGCTTACAAATGAAACATATTAAACCTAATAATATACCACATTAATTTTCCTTAATGTCATGAAAGAACCCTCAAAAGTAGTGTGTGTATTACAAACCTCACTCTGATAATTGGGGAAATGACTTCTGTGCTGCACATGTGCCATCGTTTCAAACACAGATGCACTTTGTGTGACCACTTCTCTGCACTGTGATTTCTCTGAGTTAGGTATGTTCTCTGTTAGGACTGGGATAGTTACAAGATTCAGTTTTCACAAAAGTTTTTTAAAAACTTGTCTGCGGATATTCTTAGATGAAGATTTTTACATGTTAGACTAATTGAAGTATTATGAATTGCTCAAATGAAGGGAAGAAAAGAACTTAGTAGGGCGATGATTAAAATCTGTTACACAGGTAAAGCCAATGGGATATGTGCAAGGTCACCCCTCTGATTATACAGGGTGGGGCAAAAGTAGGTCTGCAGTTCATATCAAAGTAATATATTTAACACATAACAATACAAAAATAAACTGCATACTCACACTGTGAATCTTCTTTTGCCCCGCCCTATCTGCCTGACCCCAGGAATATGGCACACTGTACAGGAACACACCTGTGAGCCTTCAGTTCCAAAATGTACAAATCACTAATGAAAACCAGTGTTAGATTATATACTCTTGGTTTGTCTCAAATGTGCACCTGCAGAAAATGCATGCATCACTCACTGAAGCCTCAAATACCAGTGAATTTTACAAGAGGAGCCATTTGTGGTGAGGATGGCTGCACATCTTTGGGAGTGTCTGTCCTTGTGCATTACTGGTGTATTAATTCAGGGGTGACAGCCACAGTGGAGAGTGCTCCATGAATGGATGATGATAATATGAAGAAAGTGAAGTAATAGATGAACGTGGAAGGGTGGTTTTCCTGGCAGCTTTACCTTGGAACCAGCCAAATATAATTTGTATGTGTGTGTGTATGTGTGTGTTTAATTTTGCTGGTACCCTAAAATTTCCCATAAGCTAAATCAGCAACTGAAAATTTTCCTGTGTCACAAAGTTAGATATATTCTCTACTGCCAAAAGCAAATATACATGATTGCTAAGAAAATTCTTAATTATTTTACCACTTATTTAGTTACCATTTAAATTGAACCTGCATCTAGAATGAGTTTGCAAGGGGAAAAATCCCACATATGATTACATATATTGTAATTGTGTGCAAGAATTGAAATTTCTCTTTTGGTATTTTGCATAAAACTTTTTTATGCAAAAAAGTTATCTTAATTGTACCCTCCTATTTCATTTTTTAAAAATAAGACTTTATATTTAGAGTGGTTTTAGATTCAGGAAAAACTTGTGGAGAAGGTACAGAGGTTTCCTGTACACACTCCTTGCCCTATCACATACTTCACCTTCCCTACTTTGTTTTTCATTTCCTTCAGAAATGTTTTCTCTGTGGGTTTGCAACAAAGAGAAAGAGTTAGAGGGGAATTACCCAGGTGAAATTCTTTATCACTAAAGAGAAAACACAGAGTCAGCCACAACAGACGTGATTTCAGAAATTGTTCATGTCTCGTATGCTGTGCTTCTTTACCAACTCGAGTCTTTGGAAATAGCCTGCAGCAGGCAGATAGTAGAACATTCTTAATGATGATATGGTTGTTGGCTATTTGGTCAATTGGTCCTTTTATAGAGTGTATTTGAATTGCATAGGAAAAAAGTATCACTATGAATGAAAGTATATTAGGGCAAAAAAGGGTGTATAATTTCTCATTTCATTTGCTAAAAGAACCCGTGCTGGTCCTTGAATTAGTCAAACTGATATATGCATACTCACATTTATTAAGAGTTTGTGGAAAGGTAATGTTTGAAATCCCTGCTCTAATCAAGTCATCATTTTGTTGTCCATATACTCACTGGCCTTCATTTGGAATGTACACCCTGCAGGACTAAACCATGGAGGGGTAATCCTTAGCTATTAGTAAGATTAGTATCTTGTGCTCTGGGCACTGACAGTGGGCTTTGTCACTGTATCATCTCTGTCCTTTCATCCTACTGTGAACTGTCATTTGATTTCCAAGGTTGCTGAAGCAAACAAGAATTAAATCTTGGTATTAAAAAAGTCTCCAAAGATAGGCAAAAATATACTTTTGAAAAATCTTAGAAGAAATTTTTCTTTCACCTCTGAACTTCTAGATAACTCAGTTACATTATTGAAATGTAAAAACCTTCAGGTTTTTCAGAATGTCTTCTTGTAATGGGCACAACAAAAGCCTTTAAAATTGTTTTAACTCTAGTGAGAAGATATCAAAATGAAAGTTATTTCAGGATTGCTTGATGGCTAATATACCAAAGGCCTCTTGCTCCCTCTACAGAAGGTGCTTCAAAATTGCAGTCCCAAGTTTTTTTTTCAGTTCCATTTTTTAAAAATTGTTGTTGAGGTACAGTTGTCTCCATTTCCCTCCAATCCCAGCCATCCCCACCTCCCACCCTCAGGCTTACCACCTTTTTGGCTTTGTCCTGTGTCCATTATACATGTTCCTGACAACCCTTCCCCCCTTCCCCCCCTCCCCCGTTATCCCCTCCCACCTCCCCTCTGGTTATTGGCAGTTCTTTATTTTCATGTCTCTGGTTCTATTTTGCTCACTTGTTTGTTTTGTTGATTAGGTTCCAGTTAAAGGTGAGATCATGTGATATTTGTCTCTCACTACCTGGCTTATTTCACTTAGCATAATGCTCTCCAGTTCTATCCATGCTGTTGCAAAGGGTAGAAGCTCCTTCTTTCTTTCTGCTGCATAGAATTCCATTGTGTAAATGTACCACAGTTTCTTGATCCATTCATTTACTGATGGGCACTCAGGATGTTTCCAGCACTTGGCTATTGTAAATTGTGCTGCTATGAACACTGGGGTACATAGGTTTTTTGAATTGGTGTTTCAGGGTGCTTAGGATATAATCCTAGCAATGGAATTGCTGGGTCAAAAGACAGTTCCATTTTTAATTTTCTGAAGAAACTCCACACTGTTTTCTGCAATGGCTGTACCAGTCTGCATTCCCACTGACAGTGCACTATGGTTCCCTTCTCTTCACAACCTCACTCACCAGCATTTGTTGTTTGTTGATTTGTTTATGATGGCCATTCTGACCAGTGTGAGGTGGTATCTCATCGTGGTTTTAATTTGCATCTCTCTGATGGCTAGTGATGCTGAGCATCCTTTCATATGTCTCTGGGCCCTCTTTATGTCCTCCTTGGAGAAAGTCCTAGAGGAGAACATAGGCAGGAAAATCTCATGCAGCAACATTTTTACTGATATGTACCCTAAAGCAAGGGACATGAAGGAAAGAATAAACAAACAGGACTTCATCAAAATAAAAAGCTTCTGCACAGCTAAAGAAAACATCAGCAAAATGAGAAGGGAACCAACTGTATGGGAAAATATATTTGCTAAAGAGACCTTGGACAAGGGTTTGATCTCCAGAGTATATAAAGAACTCACAGGACTCCATTCCAGGAAGACTAACAGTCCATTTCAAAAATGGGCAAAAGTCCTGAAGAGACACGTCTCCAAGGAGGACATACAGAAGACCCAATTTTTTAAGTTTTGTTTTACAGTTCCAATTATTTACCCCTTGTCCTCCTCCGCCCACCCCACCCCCATTTCCATAGTCCCCACCCCACTGTCCATGTCCACGAGTCCTTTATACATGTTTCCTTGATGCATCCCTTCACCTTTCCAACCGTAGCTTCCCCCCTCCTCCCCTCTTCCCACTGTCAGTCTGTTCCAGAAATGAAAGAAGCCAGTCAGTGAAAGACAAATGCCATATAATCTCACTTACTTAATGAACAAAATAAACTAATGAGCAAAACAGAACCAGAGGGATAGAATCACAATAAAAAAAAAACAGTGAAATAGATTTGTTAAGAGGCCCGTGATGATTAATAAAAAGCTCTGGATCCATGTGTACCTCTGACGTCTTGTAGACTGGTTGGCTGTCCTAAAGCTGGTCAGGATAGCTTTGTGCTCTTCTGATTTGGCGTTTTTCTCTTGCATGAGCAAGGGTTAAACTCCAGTGACAACAACTGTGAAAAACGGTCGGTTTTTCTTTGCTTGGCTTTGTTGTATTTATTTGCTCTCACGGATGAATAAAATTCTTGAACAATGTTTCTGATACTAAGTGATCACTTTACTCATTTTCATTCTTTTTTACTTTGCCTGGGAATTTAAGCCAGAAAAATAATGTACTGTACCTCACCAGCTTAATTAGTTCTCTCATTATCTACTTCTAATCATTTCAGTCACTTTTAGTTCTTAGTTGGTTTGGGAGAAAAATTAACAATTTGAACTGTGACTTCTCAGAAGGAAGAATTGTTTTTAATTAAAGTGGATTTTTTTGACTATAGGTAATATTCACAAGAGACAGAAAACTTGTCCTTTCTATAAGAACTTCATTAATATATAAAACTGTCATCTATAATGTATATAACTACTACATATGTATGTGTATATAATCTTAATTTACTCATTTCAATTGGAATAAAATGTTAATATTTTAGTAGCTTTGGTTTGAATAATTGTATGCATTTTCTTTTACAACTCCAAGACCATTTTATTTGACAAGTTACTAGTTTTCCTTAGTGTGCCATTTAAAGTTATAACAATTCTTCTATCTGTAGAGTCTTAACAAAAGATTGAAAAATTCATCTCATTTGTATTTAGCATAAGAACAGACCTTCTGACCTTGTGCTGACCCTGTAATTGAAAAATGCATACACATGACAAAGTAGCTTCTTTAATTTGAATATATCACATCAGACTTACCTGTTATAAATTATTATGCTTATACCTGTTGTAAATTACTACGCTTATACTAGACTGCATTTTTTTTGTTTGTTTTCTGCCCTCTGGTAGGTGTACTGGTCCATTAGCAAATTCTCTTTCAGAGAAAACGAGAGACCCAGTAGAGGAAGATGACGATGAATATAAGATCCCTTCATCCCATCCCGTTCCCCTGAATTCTCAACCATCTCATTGTCATAATGTAAAACCTCCTCTTAGGTAAGCGTGCGGGCAGCTTCTTCATCATCTCACATCTGCATAAACAGTATCATTTGTGGTGTCTGTTTTTTTAGCAATTATATCTATTTATTTAAAATCCTTGATTTCTTGCTCAAAGCCTCTTTTTCCTATATACTGTTTTCTGCATTACTTTCAGAGAAAACTAAAAGATACAGATTTTTCAGGAAACTATTTGACTAAATTAGTTGACCAGTAAGTCTAATGGGAGGTTTTGTTGCCTCTCTCTTCCAAAACAAACTATATTCTGATAAAACTTTGTAGGTTGCCTGTAGTGATGATTAATTCATGCATTTTCAATAAGCTATTTTCAATCCATTTTATAAGTTTTAAGCTCTTATCTCATGAAGAAAAGTTAGTGCTTAGAAACTAATGTATTATATTGCCCATCTTCCTTAAAATTTTTCTTCATGATGTAAAGATTAGTATAATTTATATTCATTTCCCATCTTAACATGCTACCTCCTATTCAGATCTTGAAGAAAAATTAAAAAATCCTAAAATTGGGTTTCTTAACTTTTTTTTTTATCAGGTACTATATATTTTACTTTTTCTTACATAAAATAAGAATGTGAGGAATAGTGTTGCTTTGGGTTTTTTTCACTTGTTTATCCTAGCTCAAATGGAGATAGCCTTGATCTTAGAAGTTGTAGCTTCATTGAGCTATATGACTTATTAAAAATGAGTGGTGTGTATTGAAATATTAGTTTGTGTTTAGGTAGAAGGATGATTCTGCATTTATGTAATTGACTTAGTAATCATAATATAATAATGTGATTCTTCATATCTTTTTAAAAGACTGACCTATATGAGATCCTCAATAAGTGAAATCTCAGTTTCAACACTTACTTTCTAAGCTCCAGCTTTCATTGTCTGACAGCACCCCTGAAGCTCTGCTGGGGAGATAGGACACAACTGCTGCCGGTGGCCCAGCCTTCTGCCTTCCGGTAGCTCTTGACTGAGAGATAGGAGAGTGGTTGACCGCGGCGGTCATCTGTGTCACCCTAGTGTGCCGTGTCCTTCTTAGGGCCAGTCAGTCAGCAGAAGGCATTATATTTTACGTATGGACTGTTCCTTTTTCAGATGAAAAGTCTAAAACTGTTTTAATGCCTTTCTCTGATATCGTACTGAGGCAGAAAACACAACATTTGAGAAGCAGGTGTTCACTTGAACCAGAGATCTGTCTTAATGATTGATCCTGGTTAGAATTATCAACACTGCAGAATTATTAACCAGAATTATTAACATTCTGAAGTCCAAGGCTTCATATTTCCAAGCAAGAACCAAAGTACTTCTTACTAATTGGTGTTTAAGACATTTGTTGCTAAAATAGTATCTGTGCAGAGACAAAAAAATTAACTGAGAGGCAATTTGTTACATCAAAAGAACCAGTTGTCTGCTGCTCTCATTAGAGAAGAAAGTTACGCCTTTACATCAAATATAAATTGTTGAAATTTTCAGTTCCTTTGACTCTTACCAATGTGTAGTAATTTTTAAAAACTGAAATAAGATGAGCTTTTTCTGTCTACATAGCGTCTCATTATTTTTCATTGCTGGAGAAGTGAGGAGTATAATTTTAATAGTTTAAATTTTAATTGTCACATCATATTGGATGAGTTCTTTGGTGGCAGGCCTCCCAAAACCAGAAAATAAATTTGAATTATGACCATCATTACCATCTTTGTACTGTTACAGAGAAGTAATAAATGTTGATAATCCCTAAACTTAATTGGAGTGCGTTTTATGTCTAATTTGTTTCTGAAAGCTGACGAATGAAGCATATTCTTATGTCCTCTGCAGGGCACGCTGCGAGCTAAACAGCAGTTTCCCCTCTGTCCCTGCCCTCCTCTTGGAGCAGCAGAAGTAAATATGTGGAACAGGTTAAATAGCAGATGAATAATTCAATTCAGTTTTACTAAAAATTCATCATTATTATGAAAACTCAATACACAATAACTATTTCTAAATCAGCTATCTCTGGCCCTTTGAAGAGAGGTGGCCACCAGAGAGAATGAAAATGAATTTTAGATGAAACACTCTTCAATAACTATTCAAATATCCACCATCTCCTCTAATAGATATACACTTCTACTTTGCCCGAGAATTCAGAGTAAATTAGAGAAAAGTAAATTATAAACCCCGCTTTCTGTATAGCTTTCTGTGAGCAGAGTAACTCGGCGAGCAGAGAGTTCGCTGTCACGCAGCTGTATTCTGAAGACAGGATGCTCTCTGCATTCCCTTCCTGCCGCTGTCTTCCCGTGCCCCTGTTTTATCCAGTGCCCACAGTACGGTTTCAACAACAACAGTGCTTTTCAGTCAGTAGTATTATCCTCTCTAGACATCTAGATCAAAACATTTGTCGTGTATCCAAGACTTCTGCGAAAGTTGTTTTGGTGCTTTTGTCAGAAGCGCCAGCATCTTGTTCACTGCAGCAGTGGGATTACACTGCAGACTCTGGGTCTTTGAAAATGCCCGTCCGAACTGTGATGGAGTTGCTGATCGTTACCTAACTCTCCATTGTTGGGCTCTAGTTTATTATAAGGAAAAGTTAAATCACTGAAATAAAAATATAATGTTAAACACCATTAAAATATAATGGAATCATTGGGGTTGTGAACATATCTTTTGCTTTATGATATATTTTTTCAAAAGTGTGACAGTTATTAGTGAACTCTTTCAAAACATTATGTTAATTTCAAAGATGTTTCCAGTAGCAACAATTTTTGTGACCATTGTAATTTTTGGTTTAACTTTAAGTTAAAAAAGAGATTATTTGTCTTCAGTGAGATGTTTACTTCTGCTTTGTAAAATATTTGAGTAGGAGTATCTAGATAATATTATTTGCACTTTTCCCAGAAAACCAAATTAATTATTATTTGTTTTCACACTTTATTATAGGAACTGGGTTGCTAGTTCCCATCACCCTCCCAAATGACTTTCAGATGGAAAGTGATTGACCTTATGATTTCTATCCTCTGCTTTCTGCTTTAGGTCTTATGATAATGGCCATTGTATATTGAATGGAACACATGGAACATCTTCAGAGATGAAGAAATCAAACATCCCTGAGTTAGGCATATATTTAAAGGGTATGTATTACACAGATTCTCTTTGCACTCCACATCTTAATGGTCGGAATTTAAAGGCAAAATTCCATTCCATTGAACTGAAAATACATTAAGATTTTGTGTTATCCTCTAGGAGATGTTTTTGATTCAGCCTCTGATCCAGTGCCATTACCACCTGCCAGGCCTCCAACTCGGGACAATCCAAAGCATGGTTCTTCACTCAACAGGACGCCCTCTGATTATGATCTTCTCATCCCTCCATTAGGTTGAAACCTTAAAACAATTTTCAAATAAGCCACCCTGCCTGTTCTTTTACTTAATATCTGAGTTATCAGAGATCAGAGTTCAGTATAATACGGACTCACTAGGTTATGAATTTGTCTGAATTAGAGATGATCCTTCAGGTAATGGTGGCTCACAAGTTCATGTGACCATTATTCTGTTTCAGTCTTTGATTCTCAGTGTGTGCCATGGGACACTGGTGTGCCACAAGAAATTGTAAAACAAGCAGCCCCTGGCTATTTAGTCAGGCGCACTGAGCTCTTTTCCCTTAGATTGTCAAATAAAAAATGGCAACAGCCAGCACAATAGTAGCCATCCAGTGAATGAAGCAAAATTATACCTATTTATTTTTTGTCAGATCGACAAAAAAAATATTTTTTGGTGTGCCACAGGATTTTAGTCATTGATTTATGTGTACTATGAAATAAAAAAGATTGAAAATCGCTGGTTTAGATGTTTGAAGCACTGGTGTGAATAGCTGGCCATCAGTCAGGATTTTATCAACTTCTGTACTAAATGTAGTCTACAAAAAACCTACATGGGAGCTTTGTTCAGGCATTTGTGTTCCAGTAGAGCTGAACCATTCATCTGAGATTTCCTTTAAGTACAGTTCTCAATGAATATGTATTGTTGCTTTCAGCATTTAATGACTCAGTTTCACTTAGCTAGTTGCATTATGGAAAATTATATATTTTATTGTAGGGAGCTAGGAATAAATTCTGTCTCATAATCATTGAAAAGAATTACCAAAAACACATGCAAAGAATTTAAATTTCTTTGTTTCAGATGTTAAGATGGAGAAGTATACTGTTGTATGTTTGCTGTGTGTACATGTATGAAGGTACACACAGGTGTATATGTACATTAAAGTTAGCTGTCTGTGTTTATTTCATTAATTCTGTGTGGGAAGCTTCTTACCCTATTTTCGGAGGAAAACAGAATCTTCACACACATTAAGGCTTCACAGTAGCAAGTCATCATAATATAAAATAATGTATGATGAAAGTCCATTTATAAGCTTAGCTGAATTATTAGAATACTAGTAATGTGAAAGGAACCTTTTGTTTTTTTTTCCCTCAATCACCATCAACCAGTATTTCCACTTAAATATTGCAGTGTATTTTGCTCTCCTATTCTTTTTGTTTTACACTTGACACCTCTCCTGTGTTCCTTCTGTAGTTCACCGTTTTATTCTCACCTACATGAATTATAAGAGCCTCCTAACTTCCTTCTTTACCTAGTGTTTTTCTCCCTTCTTCCTATGCTCTGATTTTTAACCTGTTTCCCGAGTCCTTGGGACCTACCTAAGTGCTGTCCAGTAGAATTCTGTGTGGTGATGTAAGGAGTCTGTGTATTCACATGAGCGATGGTGAAGCTGAGAGGACAGTGATACGTGTTACCCATTGGGGGATGCTATCTGGTCATCTTACTTCTGGACAGAATTCTCCCATTATGCTGTGGCGAGCATAATGTTCTTACTCATTTCTGTATTTCATATCACAGAATATGTTTAGTTGATGATTATGAAATAGAATAAAACACATTTTCAAAGCAGAAAAAACTATATAGCTACATGTGGATGGTGTACATGTGGATGGTGACTACCATACTGGACAGGGCAGAGAAATGTTCCAACCTGTCTCTTTAACACCACCTTCCTTGTGTATATCTCATGCTTTATTCATACAGTTTACTCTGTCTAGAGGACACCATCCTCACGTTTCATGAGTAAATATTTTTCAGCCACTGATATGCCAGACCTTGCTGGTTTTGGTAATGCCTTGCTGAACACCACTTTCTTAATTTCTCTTCCCTAAAATGAATATATCTGTCTGTGGGACCTATGTGATATGCGTCCTGAATCATTTGTGAACTTTGCTGAGATCTCCATGTGGAATCTAAGCTCCTTGGGTCAAGGCCTTATGATTTTGATCTTCACAGTGCCAGTGTGCCTGGCATGGTGCCCGACATTTAGGTGCTGAAAAAGGATTTGAATGAATAAGAGAAGTTAGCATATAGCTGAGGGTTGGAGTGAAAACAGAAATGGTGCTCTTCTACCTGCAAATATTTTAAGTTAGAAAAATATTTCTGATCATTAGAGAAAATATTCTCACTGTTTTTGGCAAGGCAAACTGGATGAATGGTAAAACTTTAAGTATACCATTGTCTTTGTCAGCAAATTAATATGCATGCGAATTTTTATTTCTGGAATATGTAGGTGTTCATTTTATACTGTTCCATTCACAAAGATTGCTTACAAAAATATATCATACTGCAGCTTTATTTTTTTAAAAAATCAATATAAAGGAACTTATGAGTAGAACAGTGTATGTGGCAGGGAAAAAATAGACAAATGCATGCAACACTGTTCTGTAGTTAGTAAAGCTGGGAAATAACAAATGTAAGTAACTAGCTTTGGGACCACAAAAGGCAGCTCTATACTTAGTTGTTCCTCTTTAGAGCTATCTTGTAAGTAGAAAAGTATCATGTTCTTCTACTCTAGGTGAATTTTCTGCATATTTTGACAATGAAATATATGGAATATTAGCTTCAATATTAAAACCCAGTGGAATAAACTTTAAAAGATAATTTATTCTGTGACATTAATTTTTTGTGCATAGTATGATTTTCTAATTAGAGGCTATTACACACAGAATTCTGTTTTGAATGTGTGACATAATTTTTAGTTCAAAATTCTAGTGTCTTAACATTACAAAGTTTACAGATGAATAATAGGCTGTTTTATAACCTGCAGTACTCCCTTTTAATAGAAAGACCCGAGGGATAGAAAAAGTTTGCACACACGTGTGTTTGTGTGTCTCATTTGCTGCTCTCCAAACTCCCACAAAATGATTAGGTCCCATTATCAAAGTTGGTGAACAGCTGGATAGACACTGCAGGTGAAGTTCTTTACAAGCAGTAAGAGAAAATCGATCATTACTTTGGCTTGATGCTGTGTTGTGACTAATGAAGTTCTGCTGTTGATACTGAGCTTTCTTTAAATGCAGGTGAAGATGCTTTTGATGCCCTGCCCCCATCCCTCCCACCTCCCCCACCTCCCGCAAGGCATAGTCTCATCGAACACTCAAAACCTCCTGGCTCCAGCAGCCGACCGTCCTCAGGACAGGACCTTTTCCTTCTTCCTTCAGGTAGGAGGGAAAAGCCAAGGAAAGCTTTCAACTTAAAGCAAGAACATTTCTAAGATCATGCTGTCAAATATGTAATTCATTGGTTTCTATCTCCCTAGCAGAAAAAAACTCTTGAGTGAGGAAAACAGCAGTTGTGTACTTCTGTTTGTCAATTGGTTGGTTTAATCGTAAAGGGGTTACGAAAATGGAGAGAGCAATAGGGAATAACAGAATTCAGAAACGGCGCTTTAGAGATCACCAAGTCCAAGTAGCAGTAACCTGTAGTCCCGAAGGCGTTCCGGAGACCCAGGAGGGCTCTGTGGCTGGGCATTCGCCACAGAGTGATGGGGACAAGGTCTAAACGCCGTCTCCAATTCTAAGTACTGTAATTCCTTTCTAGTAAGTTTGAAAAATTTTACTACATATATCTCGGGCATAATTTTGTTCAAAAATATACTTTGGTAAATTACATTATACTGTTTTGGCAAATTACATTGTTATAACATTGATAAGTTTTTCTGGAATACCTTTATTCTGTTACTTTATTTTTTTTATTTATTTTAGATTTTATTTATTTATCTTTAGAGGGGAAGGGAAGGAGAGAGGGAAAATATCACTGTATGGTTGTTTCTCATGCGACCCCTGCTGGGAACTGGCCCCTGCTGGGAACTGGCCTGCAACCCAGGCATGTGCCCTGACTGGGAATTGAACCGCGATGTTTTGGTTTGCAGGCCCGTGCTCCATCCACTGTGCTACACCAGCCAGGGCTTGTTACTTTATTTTTAACGTCTCAGTGTATCTACTTAAATTATTGTCTTCAAGGAAAAATTAATACATGGCTTTTTAAAACTCAGGTATACAGTAGAAATAAAATAAAAGGATTTAAACCATCCACTCCATGAGTCAGAATTATCGGGAACAAATGCTCAGTTATGCATTAAATTAACTGTTGCAAGCTGTCCTGCTGGGGTCTGGGCTCTGAAAGAGTGCCTCCTCAATTTGGATTGGTTAACAACAGGATAAATATCTTCTTTCTTAACAGCTGCTTTTACATTTCTGTATGAGATAAATCATGGAAAAGCCTTAAAAGAGTGCAGTTTGTCCTTTGGCTATTATCATTCACCTATAGCCTTCATTTTTCTGTTTTTTTCCCACTTGGTTTCATAATTCAGAAAGTTTGAGCTTTGTGTATAAGAAACAGATCAGACATGAACCTTGGAATGTACAACTTCAGTTTTTAAGAAATACTTTTGAGTTTACTCTTTCATCAGTAAAATGAACTGTTTTCTGTGTCACCTTTCCTGTTGACGTGCCCCCCACCCCCTACAGTGCAGAGACAAAATGCTCACCAGAGAGCCAGGGCCATACCCTTCTAGAACCCCAGCAGGCAGTGTGGGCAGCCTAGGCGCTTACATTTTTAGACAGCTTCACATAAGCACTGCAATTTGCTTTACACTTACACTTTCTAATCTTTGCTTTATACATGGACTTTAATTCATATTTTTTTAAATGAATTACTCTAAATCTTAGTTAACCTTTCCCAAGGCTAAATTCTGCATAGTTTCTGGCCAGATTCCTACAATGTACCTATCACCTTTTTTATATGTGATTTAAGCCCTATGAAATAAATGTTCGATGAAGTGCCTTCTTTTAAGATTAGGTCAAGCTTTCCAGGAGCTAGACAAAAACATTTTATGTAAACACATACTTTCCCCTATTTTTAGCAATAGAATTGATTGTAAAATACTTCACGTCTTTATCATGATTTTATTGTTCATTGTGCATTATGTAAAAGTATTCATAAATATGCTCTTGAGACTACTAAAAAATTGGTACTTCAAAGTGAAAATACCCCCTTTTATTAAATAAAAATTGTACACATTGTTTTGTAGTACTTTGTATACAGGTTTGATTGCTTTGACTTTGCTTGGCTGCAGGGGGCGCAGCAGCAATGGCCCTTAACCCAGGGGAGGAGGCAGGCCCACAGTGGACCTGAGCAGTGTTGTTCGGACCTGCTGACTCTCCCTTGACCTGCTTTTGTACACGGGAGTATTCTAATTGCACTCATGAAAGTGTTGACATTCCCTAGTAATAAATACTTTTAAGCAAAATAATGGTAACATCTCTTCCTTTTCCAATCTTGTATATCATTAACAAGAGTTTCTAGTCTGTTGCCAGATCCTTTGAGATCCCTTGAGAAGACTGTTTTTATTCCATTTTAAACCGTATACATTAGCTGTCCTTTTAAAAAGAAATATTTTACTTCTTCTTACCTAATCATATCATAGAATGTGAAGGTTTCTTCCAGCTCATAAATAAGCATTTGACTATTATTTTACCAAGTATTTAAAACATTATAATGTCTAAAGAACTATGATAGAAGATTCACAACAGTGGTTCACCATATAAGATTTTTTAAAAGGTTAATGCTAAATTTAAAGAGACTGTATAGCATTTTACAGCTATTTTTTCTATTTAACATGTAAAGTTTTAATCCAGTGTAGTAATAAATCTTTTCTGGCCACTATTGGTAAGACTTGGTTGAGGAAATCATTGTACCCAATTAAAGACAAAGGTTGGATTTTCTCTTGATGTTGTATGAAATATCTAATCATACCTATCTCTCTTTGTCACAGTGCTCACTTCCCTGCACACTTGGGTCAGGCGCACCTTTCCAGCCCCATGGCCCAGCGATTGCTCTGTAGTAATAATAATTTTCAAACTGCAGTCCAGCATTTCTGCAAAGGAGCCTTAGGACTCCAGTAGGATCAAAGGGGGAAAGTGAAGCCGGGACACAGCTCTGTGCTCCTTCTATCTATTTTCTATTTTAGCCTTGCCTGCAGGGTTTCTTTTGGTAGAATACTAATGCCCTGCTGTACATTAGCCGTCTACTGTGACAGGACAGTCATATCCTAATAAAACCAGGAGAGTCCTCAGACAAAGCTCTACACTTCCAGTCTCCAAGCCCAGGGCTACAGCTAGCATATATGTGCTTTTCTGTGAATTACAAAAAGGCACTTCTTTTGTGCTGGCATATTGAAACAGGCACCCCTCCCTCCACTTTGTGCCAGGGCCAGTGCTCGGAGAACAAAACCAAGGCTGTATTTATGTCTGTGCATTCCCATAACTGCATGTCTTTGTGCAGTGCACAAAATACGGTGTCTATGGTGCTGTTATTGAAGCTTCCTTTCACTATTTTTCAAACCTGGAATCCCTTTTGTAGTTCATATCTAATTTTAAATCACAGTTCAAATCTAAAAACTAGCAAAATTGACTTGATTAGAGATAGATGAAAGTTTTCCACTTGGATCCAGAAATGCAATTGCCTAAGGAAAATACAGAGAAAATTTGGGTCATTTGTAACAGTATTGAAAAGTATTTATGGATACTTGATGACTGTGACCTTTATAAAGCACTATCACAATGCGGCTACCAAGGGAGCTTGTGCTGTGTGGAGGCTGCACTCCCAGAGTTGCAGTCAGAGCGGAAGTGAGGTGAGGTCTTCCCCAGGGCTCAGGGGTGTGGAGACTACTTACTTGTTCAGCTGTTGAAAGGTTGCTGGGCTAGAGGTAAAATTGTGGCCCTGGGACCAACAGCATCAGCATCACCCGGGGATGTTTTTAAAACACAAATTCAGTCCTGGCCAGGTGTTTCAGTTGGTTGGAGTATTTTCTGTACAAGGAGAGGTTACCAGTTCCATCCCTGCTCTCCCAGGTCAGGGCGCATAGGGGAGGCAACCGATTGATGTTTCTCTCTCACATCAATGTTTCTTCTCTCTCTCTCTCTACCTCTCTCTCTCTCTCACTCTCACTCAAAAAATCAATAAAGATATCCTCAAGTGAGGATTAAAACATAATAATTTACAATGCAAATTCATAGGACCCACCTGGGGTATCTTAAATGAGTTAAGACCCGGTAGTTTGTTTTCATAAGGCAGGGGTGTCAAACTCATTCTCACCAGGGGCCACATCAGCCTCACAGTTGCCTTCATAGGGCCGAATGTAATTTTAGGACTGTGTAAATGTGACTACTCCTTAACAAGTTAAGTGAGAGCTCAGCGCTGCCGCAGGGTAGAAACAAGGTGCTGAGCAGGTAAAACAAGGTGGAGGGCCGTGTACGCCACCTGTATCATAAGTCTTCCCAGTGATTTTGATGCGTGCTCAGTGTTAAGAATCTCTGGGTAGAGAAACACCTAAGAAGTGTGCAGTCTGGATCATAAAGGGAACTCAGACCATACCACGTAAACTATAGTAGGTTAAAGGAACTGAGGACGTTTAACTCAGAAAAGAGACAGCCTTGGATATTATTAGAGCAATCTTGAATTACCGTATTTGTGAAAAAAGGATTAGATACCTTCCGGGTCTTTGGCCCATTTTTAAATCATTTATTTTTGTGTTAAGATATATGAGTTCCTTATATGTTTTAGCTCTTAACCAATGTATTTTGGTGAATATTGAATATATATTGGCATTCATTAAGTTGTCTTTTCATCTTGTTCATGGTTTCCTTTCCTGGGCAAAAACTTTTCAGTTTGATGTAGGCCTATTTGTTTATTTTTTCTTTTGCTTCCCTTGCCTGAGGAGACATATCCAAAAAAAAATATCGCTAAGAGCAATGTCAGTTTATTGCTTACATTTTCTTCTAGGAGTTTTATGCTTTGGGGCCCTAATTTAAGGCTTTTATCTGTTTTGAGTTTATTTGTGTATACATATGGTATTCATTTGTTTGCCATGTATCTGTCCATTTTTCCCAATACTATTTTGAATAGACTGACTCTACTCCATTGCATGTATTTGCCTCCTTTGTCAAAGATTATTTGACTATAAAGGCATGGGTTTATTTCTGGGCTCTTTATTCTGGTTCATTGATCTATTACTGTTTTCGTGCCAATACCATGCTGTTTTGATTATATAGCCTGTGGTACATAGACTGACATCAGGTAGCATAATACCTTCAACTTTGTTCTCTTTCTCAGGATTGCTTTGTCTATTTAGGGTCTCTTGTAGGCCCATATAAATTTT